CACACCCCACATCCACACCCACCCACACCCTACATCCACACCCACACACACCCCACATCCACACCCACACACACCCACACCCACACCCCACATCTATACCCACCCACACCCAAGATAGTGGTTATGGATTTTCACATTTGTATCATTCATCATATCAATCAATGTCCTCAATGAATGATGAAGATGGTGATAAAATGAAGAATGATAATTTGTCTTTAAAACATTTGGAACATAATTATTCAAAAAGCTACGTAGACAACGTCAGTCAAAAAAATCAATTAAACCATCAGTTGGTTCAATTCATTTTGATTTTTGATTTTTTTTTCTACTTAAGGAAACAGGAAGGTATTGTAGAAAAATTGAAAATGATTACTCCAAGTCTTTCTTATGACAATTATGAGAAAGATAAAGGAAAATATAACACCAATTCATTCCAGAGAGCCTCTATGCAATTGACTGTTTCATATAATTATTTCATATGAAGATAATTTCTCTTATTTTATTTCATCTACAGCTTTATAACTTTTTTTCTGATAATAAGAAACATTCACAATTTTAAGAAAATATTGAAATTTCAGAAAAAAAAATTGACTGTTTAGTGTGAAACATAAGGTGAACGATTCCAGTTCCAATTTTTAGGAGCGGAAATTGGGATCTTTGTTCTTTTGTTTTACTGAGCAACACCAGAGTCGAAACCATGATTTCGATTGCGTATCTTCTTTGGAATCCCCGAACTCTAATCAAAAACCTTAACTAATAGTCCTATTTCTTTCCAGAATACTACTTCTTCTTTAAGACCTTTCTCACAACCTGTCACATTAACACGTCAGAAGATAAAATTAACGAAAATCAAAAGTCGGCGAGCGATGACACAAAATGTGCTGGGGACTATGAAGATATATCATTAGTATCCTTTTCTTCTCTTCAGGTATTTTTTTTTGTTTTTTTAAGAGCATCACACTTGTTTTCATATTTTAGGATTTTCAAAAATAAGTATTCATTCGTTATTCGGAGTATTTCATTCTTTTCTTTTATTCGCATAATCTTTTTTATTTCTACAACTTTTTTTTATTTTTATAATTTTTTTTTTGATTTGAATAACGTATGATCAATAAAATAGAAAAATATTTATGCACTAAAATCAACCAACACTTAGTATATAACTCTACTCTGTAGAAGATTGAAAAAATGATTTACATGTTAATTATTATGCAGAAGATATAAAATATTTTGAAATGAGTCACATAATTCGATCTTGAGACGACGCCATTACATAATTTGATGCCATAATGACACCTCGCTCAAGAATTGTAATGTGGCGCTGTCTTTCGCGTGAGCCTCATTTTTTTTAAACGAAAACGTAGTTTTAAGAGAATTGGTCGTCAGTAGTTTCTATCATAATTTTGTCTTATGACCCTCACACTCCGAAACACGTCACTGCTAGTGGTGCATTTCACCAATGATTCTTCTTTTTCGCTTGCTTTTTTTCAATAGACCATGTACTAATGATGAAAAAATTGCATACTCAACAGAGAATGGAAAAAGAAAAATACCGAACTTTCATGGGATGTTCTCTTTTTTCTCCGTTTACGAAGCATATTCTTATATAAAACGACTTTTCTGTTCTCTGTGTAAATCAAAACTTACACAAACGTGATAAAAGGTAATGGTGTATTTGAAATAGGCAAGTTGAGAAGAAGAAAAAATGCTACAGCATTGATTTATTTCAAAAACGCGCATCATTCGAATTATAGTCAAGGTTGATGGCCAAACAAGTTTCTTTTTCAATTTTGATTTTACCAATAGACCTTGTCTACCGGATTCTGGACTCTCTTGATGACTTCACTATTCTATGTTCAGTACGAAACGTTTGCACAAGACTCAATATGATCGTTGATACATATCATCGATATGCAGTAAGTTTTAATCTTTTTATGAATTCAGATTCCTCTCATCTTCGATACATTGCTTAGTTGAGAAAAGCGCTTCTTTGTTGATTTTCAAACACTTTGTTGTACAGTGAAGGAATATCCGAGGAACTCTTTAGTTATTGCCTTACAAAAACTATTGAAAACTAGTTCATTACTTTTCTAATTATTTGCCACATTTCTTTACTATATAGGCTACTAAGTTATTTTACTTTTAAAAATTTATCGAAAATATGTGTGTAAGTGACTGGGAAAATGATGTCTTCATGCACATCAAAAGACGGATGAATCCGATAAATGGAAGTCGCCAATTTCTGCCGATTTTTTATTTCCATCTATGAATAGCACTTGTCAGTGACAATAATTTTTGCTTAGGCCTTTTTCTCCAGCAGACGCGAAAAAAAACATAGTTGAACTATAATTTAATTCATTTTTCAATGAATGAAAGCAAAATTTAAATAAAATATTGTTGATGGTTCCTCGTTGCATATTCCTATCATAACACAAAGCACAGATTCGTATTTCGGAACAGAAAATTGCACAAGATTCTTTCCAAATAGTGATTTTCAAACGATTTTCTGATACTCTCTCTGATACACAAAGAAATAATTTATTTCGTAGTATACACTATCATTTTTTCTTTTAATTTCGATATTGGAACACACAAATTTCCCAAGTATTTAATTACAAAACGTTGTGAAAGAATGGATAGAAAAGGCAGAAAGGAAAAATGTCGAAAGGGAAAAATATCGAAAACAAGAATATGAGATGAAAATGAGCATGTAAGATTGAATTGAGGGTGAGGGAGACTTGTACTTCAACATACTCTCGTTTTCAGCATTTCTATCCCTCTTCATTTGTATTACTTTTGATTTCGATATTTTTATTTTCGATATTTTTCCTTTCTGCCTTTTTCCATCATACCTACAGGGTGATGTGTCAATTCATGTACGAATGAATTTGTCGAATTATTTGAAAACCAATTCAGTTGATCTTTTTAAAACGTTACACAAGTCATTTAGTCCTCATCTGATCAAAAGATGGCGGAATTACTGCTGTAGAATTCTAAAAAACCAAAACCAAGGAATGTCGGATAATAATAAACAACGATTGAATCTTTATCGTTCCCTCAAATAATAAGACGATATCAGTAATTAGTAATTTCCATGCCACAACATGCTAAAGGGTGTTTTTTTGATTCCTAGAGGAAGTTAAGAGAACTATTGAAAAGAATAGATTAAGAAAGTCTTTGTAAACTTCAAGCGATTCTATAATTTTTCGCAGAAAAACCAATGAACTTTCTTTTTGAGAAAATTTTTTTCGGCAGGTATGTCATTAATGAACGCTTTCTTAAGAGATATTGAAGCAGCATATGCACATCTATAGATAGACATCAAACTTCAAGCGAAGAGATGACATCAATTAAGAAAAAAAAATTGGACAAAAGTGAGACGAGTTGATTCTATAATATTTCACAAGGTATGATGGAAAAAGGCAGAAAGGAAAAATATCGAAATCAAAAGTAATACAAATGAAGATGGATAGAAATGCTGAAAACGAGAGTATATTGAAGTACAAGTCTCCCTCACCCTCAATTCAATATTACATGCTCATTTTCATCTCATATTCTTGTTTTCGATATTTTTCCTTTTCGACATTTTTCATTTCTGCCTTTTTCCATCCATTCACCCTGTATAGATTGCAATTCTTGTTTTCTATATCGCGTGTATCCACAATAAACTCAGCAAATGTATGTTTGTCCGTTATTGCCTATGCAGAACCATCCAGTGTTTTTTCAGAGTGTGTAGGTAGACTCTGAGCACAGTCGAATATTCATGCACACACGATAACATTGTCTCATATAGTAGAAGTACATGACAGGAAACTGTGCAATCCATACTTTTCTAACTTGAAACGAATAAGTAAGGACCTTACAATGATTTAACAGTTCAAAAGGCACTTCCAAAGAGCAGACAACAAAGTTCAACTCTTTTATTCAACTTAGTGGCGGTTAAGATATGTTGCAGATCATTTTCTTTTGTTTTGTTTTCTAAAAACTTCGTGTTTAGCTGCGCTATTTGTAATATTTATACTTGTTAAACGAGTACGTATAGCAAAATGGTGTATTTTTGAAAGATTTGATAGACTCTATGTAGCTGTTGATATTCTACCAGATTTCGTTTCTTGTTTGTTCTTAATTCCTCATTTATTGATGATTATTCGTTAAGGATATAGTTGCTTTTCGTATTCTGTCATACTAAACTGGATAATACAGTGTCCTTTTAGAGATAGTTGAAGATGCTAAAAACTGATGCCTATAATACATCTGCGGATTCTATGCAGTTTCCACTTGATTTAAGCTTTTTCATAACAATAGAGTGATTCCGATTTAGCCAGAAGAGCTATTCTCACATAGATTGCAATTAATGTGAAAACAAATAGGAGAAAAACAAACTAAATAATAAGCGAAAATCAATGAAAAACAGGAAAAAATAGATATAAAGTGTATAAGACTGTACGATCAGTAACACTACAGAGTCCAGAATCGAAATACGTAATAATAATATCCAAAAAGCTGTTAGTGATTCTATACTTTTTCCGAGACAAAAGGGTCGAATTTCTTTTTGGAAAAATCTTTTATGAACAACTATGTAATTTAAGAAAGCTTTCTCAATAAATACCTAAAGAGCACATTAGGGGTGGCTCATTAGTATTACTACTGTCTGTCCAAAAATAAAATGGACTCGGGTATTTTTGCAATAGCTCAAGAACGGAAAGAGTTAGAGAGCTGGGGTTTTCACTATTTTGTAGGTAAATGAGTACTCTCTATATATATATTAAGACCTGCTGGAAATCCATGTAGATTCAATGTTTTATCATTACGAATCTTTCAAAGAGAATGATATAATTTTTACAAGTTCCATAAGAATCTATATATCTAAACTATACAAGAGATAGCCCAGAGGCTCCTCTACAAAATGGCGAAAGGCTCAGCTCTCTAGCTTTTGCGGTTCTTAAATGGCACTCTTTTTTCTAAAATCTATTTTATGGATTTATTCCTACCAGTAATCATAAAGATTCATAGGAAAATACGAAATAAACAAGTTTTTATCTCCTAACAAAGTAGCATATGGATGATAAACAATAATTTCATGTCATCATAAATGAAAAAAATGATATATTTGTTGAGTTTCTCAGATCATCTTAGATCCACAGTAGAATATACTATTAAAATCCTACAATATATAAATCAGTGGTATAGAAAAAAGTCAACTTATTTATCGTCACTGCTGTTACGTGAATCGTCTTCATCTAAATGAATATCAGATTCATCATCATCAGTATCTAACAATGTTGTTTCAATTGATTCAACATAATGATCAGCTAATTTGAATGTCGTCTCGTATTCTTTCGTTTTCTCAAAAAATCCTGTTGATGTTGATTCATCACAAGCAGCTAACCAGTTGGCAGCTAATTCACGGATATCTTGCACTTTAAATGATGTATTTTGATCTCGAATATAATTTTTCATGCCTGCAATCAGAAAAAATAATAAAGAATATTGTTTGTATCACAGTACTTGTGCTTTCGATATACAGTTTGAATCATTTTCACAAAAAATGATGAAAAATACTTACACACCCATGCTATTTCGATCGGATTAAGCATACAATGCTTGATGGGCAACCGTAAGATCTCTACATCACATAATGCAGCAGCATCATCGACAAGATATTGTTTAGGTGGAGCATTGGTGTGACATAACTCAAGCAATTCTGCTTTAAAATAATGATCAGGATACGGAATTTGGTGCTGTTCTAACCAATCACGAATCCTATCTTTATTCCATGCTCTTGATAGAATTCGACTGAATTCAGTTCGTTTATTATGCCATTTTGCATTATCTATGATAATGCAAATTTTATTATTTGAACCTTTTTAGAAACAGAAAAAATCTTAGTCATCACTGGCATTTACCATACTATGAAAAAGATATGTGTCAGCTACTCACCTGCTTCAACTCGCAAAATACCTGAAGTTTGTTTTATCCAGTCAACAAAATGATCTGAATTCATTGTATGGGACTCCTCTGATTCGAATATCTCAACGCTTGGAAAATGAAAACCATTACAATTGATCAAGGCATTCACTATTAATCGTTTAGCTAAAGAAATACGTGATAAAACAGTAGAATGTTCTATCAATGCACCAATTTTAAAATCAGCTTGTTTTACCTTTTCCACTACCAGTACGCAATCTTCCTTGACCAGTATCTGATTCAATCCAAATATTTCTTTTCTACTCATTGACATTCAACCATGTTTCATCTTGATAATAAATTACAGTACCTTCTTCTTCTAATTCATTTAACCGATGAAAATATCTTGCTCTTTCAGCAATAAAATAAGTTGAATCTAAAATTGTTTTGACAGAAGCAGTTCTTCTGTAAACAAAACCTAATTCTTTCAAATGTTTAGATAATATTGTAATGCTGTTGATAAGAAACTCAGGCAAGTCTTTTTTCAAACGTGTCAATGAACGACGTAACGTTGGGTATTGTTTTTCAGATAATAACACGTGAAATTCATATCTTAATATATCTTTTCTATATTCCGATAAAATGATGTTTGATCTACCAGAACGACCAGATCTATTAGATGATTTTGCTCTCGGAAATTCTGTTTCATCTTCAACTGTTGCTGTTCTTGAACGCAAAGTTCTTTTCGATGCATTTCGATCTTCCATAGTTGCTGTTAATTCTTGTTTCAAATTAAAAAGTGATCCATGAGAAATATTTAACATATGCATCAATCGATCGGTCACATTGTACATAGGTATAACTGAACCTTCTTTTTCACTCTCAACAAACTTTATTATCCGAAACATCAAGGATTTTACATCAGATGTGTATTGATTTCCCTTAGGCATAGTAGATGATGAACAAAAAACAGAAGAATAGGAATCAAAAAAGTTTATTCAAATATTAAACAAACTATTTTTTGATAGGAGAATCCAATTGCCCAATAGTATCTCACTCTTGAAC